TTCTAAGGATAACCTATCTGTTATGATCCATGTTCAGCATTACCCTTCAGTTAAATTGTATTAAATATGTTTGTAAGCCAGTTAAATAATTTATCAGTGCTAATTTACAATTATGAAATTAATAAGATTGTTATGAATTCGGATTGTGTCTTTAATTTAGGGTAAAATAAAGGGTGTTTATGTAATATGTTCTGAAGTCTGTCTGACAACAGGCCTGGGTAATGTGGCTCTTAAAGATTAAAGGAAGGTGTGGGCTGTTTCGCTGGGAAGAAGCTGTAAGATATTCATGCGTTGTGACAATGACAACGACATCTGTATTTATTGTTGAGATTGCTAGTCTCTAAAGTCCCAGGAAGGTGTTGAGAATTTTGGATTGCAAACATTTTTTCTTGAAGCAATCTGTATACTTCCAAGATATAATAGTGTTAGGGACTAAGGAATAGCTCATTTGTACCTGGTTACATGGCTCATATGATTCATGTTGCCATGGAGTTGGGCTTTAAGAAGGGAAAAGGCATTGTCAGGTTATGTTATAGGCTTTCCTTAAACATCACTGATTATCTTGGACTAAAATGGTTTGCCAGGAACAGAGAGAGAGGGAGCAACTAAACTCTGAAAGTCTCCAACATTCACCTGCAGGAGTGTATGTGGGAACTCATGTTTGGGACTGAACAAAAAACACATTGGTGACGATTTGGAATGAAGCTGGAGGATATACCTGGCTTGTGCTAGATAGAGAATCATCAGGAAAGAATCTCACCATGAAAGACAGTTCTGGGGTCAAATCTTATGAGCCTGTGAAAGAAAAGTAAAGGAAGTAAATCTCTGGAGCTAAAATATACTTCAGTCTGGCTCCAGGAAAATCAAACAACTATTTAATAGACAGTGTAAGGAATACCTGTCAAGTGGATTTATCAGTTGTGTGAAAAAGAAGAGGGGAACATTCTGTTCCATAGTTTAAAGCATAACTTGCTTACAAAAATAGTGTTTATTCAATAGCGCTTTTAATCTGTTACAGTAAAAGTCTTAAAATGTAACATCTTGCCACGCTAACCTTTCAGCTTTTAACTGGAATTTCAAATTTATTTTTTTAAACTACTCTTCTGTACAACAATTGAAATAATTGTTCTAACCTATTACTGTAGAGAGTAGCCGTGTTAAAAAGAAAAACCCTACGTTTATTGAATCCTTTCACAGTCATCACAAGACATTGTACAGCCAATAAAGTACTTTTGAAATGTAATTCATTTCATGTAGTAAATGCAGCAACCAATTTGTCTCAATAAACTCACACACTGATTATTTTCTGTGATGTAGATTGAGAGATATATTGTCTAAAACACAGGGACTAAACTTTGAAAACTTTGCAAGAACTTTACAGTTCTTTGAAACCGCAGCAGAAGGATCTTTACATCACCCTGAGAGTGTAGATGGAGCCTCTATTTAATATTGCGTCTGAGAGATGACACCTCTGACAGTGCAGCACTCCCTCAATCCTGCACTGCAGTATCTGGCTAGATATCTGGTGTGCCTCAAACTCCGGAGGGGAGCTTGAACCTGAACCATGTGCTTAAAGAATGTTCATTTTCATTCTTCCAAAGTTCACTGACAAGGCCTCAAATATTAAACTTACAAAAATAACTTGAGAATTAATTCATTGCAATGGAACATTTTGTGCCATTTTGTGCTATGGGACAACAAGAGGACTCCAGAGAGATACATCTGATTGAGGAGGCAAGGACTGATCATGATCAAAGTTACTAGCACAATGGATGTGACATTGTTCTTTGTATTTGGCTAGTATAGGGGAAGACATGATAATTTAAAAAAAAACTTTCATTTCATGTAATTTATTGAATGGAATGATTGCACTTCCCTTCCACATATCACCTCATGTTTGCATTGAGTACTCAAGGCCAATGACTAAACAAATCAAATTCCATCATTCTGCCTGTTTCTCTGTAAAAGTGAACCACTACAATAGACAATATAGAGGCAGTTGGTGGTAACTTCAATATATGGACAGTTGGTGGTATAGATAATGCATAGACAGTCAGTGATCAATGGTAAAGACACAATATAGGCAACTGGTGATATAAAGAATATGTAGACGGTTGGTGGTATAGATAATGCATGCATGATCAGTGGTATACACAATAGCCCTTTGTTGTTTAATAGTGTAGAAAAACATGCAGCAAAATATTGGATAAACTTTCATTATATGGTACTAAGGTCTTATCATTGTAAAACATCCAATTTAATCTGAGCAAATGACATTTTTTTTGTTCCCTTTCCTAACAGTTTTTCCTGTTCCTTATCATAACATTTTTTCTGTTCCCTATCCTAACAGATTTTTTTTCCATTCTCTATCCTAACACTTTTCTCCGGTTTCCCATACTAACAATATTTTCTCTTCCCCATCCTAACTGTGTTTTCTGTTTCCTATCCTAACAGTTTTTCCTGCAACCCAGACCAGAAAGCAACATGCTCTTATACCACTTGATAACTGACCACTAGGAGGTGACAAAAATATAACTTGCCTTCCTATTTCTGCTGGCAAGAAACGCCCAACCTTCACTGTACTCTGCTGCCACAGCCCAGCGAAGGTCAAAACTCAGATGGAGATGTGCAACCATCTGCTCCATGGTCCTGAACAGTCTGCCACATTCAATGCTCTGTAAACTTAAAGGCATCTAAAACTCTGCTGCTCATATCTAAGACAGACCAAGTTCATTCTCCTATCATCTCTATACTCATGGAGCTATACTGGCTCCAGGTTAAAGCAACACCTCAATTTAAAAATGTTGATTCCAATTTTCAAACCCCTCAATGGTCTCACCCATCATATCACCTCAATCTCCATCAAGCTGACACATTCTGAACTACCTGTCCCCTGTCTCTTTCTGATCTCTTGAGTATCTTCGTTCTTTAGCTACCTAGGTCTTAGGCTACAGTCTCTCTTCCCTGAACCTCTCTGACTCTCAAAGTCTCATCCATCCTTTAAAACAAGTGGAGTAACAGCCCAGAGGGTGATCTTACAACAAGACACTCCCTAAACCTACTTGTTGGACCAAACTCCCATGTAGGCTTTGGAATGTTTCATTGTGCTTTGGGTGCTGAAAAAATGCAAGTTGTTGTTGGATCATTGTCTAGGTTAAATAGCTTTCTTCTATCAGCATAGAGTCATAGCAGAAAAAAGGACCCTTCAGCCCATCGAGTGTGCCAGAAAAAAATGATGACCTAATTATTTTAATCCCATTTTCCAGCAATTGGCCCATAGCCTTGTCTGCCTTGGTATTACAAGTGCATATCTAAATACTTCAATGTGATGAGGGTTTCTGCCTCTACCCACCCTTACAGGCAGTGAGTTCCAGATTCCCACCACTCTCTGGATGCAAAAGCTTTTCCTCACATTCCCTCCTGCCCAGTACCTTCAATCTATGCCTCTGGTCATTGATCCCTCCAGCAAGGGAAAAGTTCTTTCCTGTCTGTCTGTGCCCCTCATAATTTTCTACATTTCAACCATGCTTCCCCCTCAGTCTCCTCTGCTCCAAGGAAAATAATTCCAGGCTGTCCAGTCTCTGTTGCTTTGCCAATTGCATGTTGTTTCTAAGGAACTCTGCTTTGTCTTTCTGCAGGGCTCCTCAATTGGCTCCTGGCATGGGGTTTAGATATTTTTATAATCAACCCATTCAGGAGTTATTATGTGCCTCTGGAGTAGATGGGACCTGAACCTGGGTCTGTTTGCTCAGAGATAGGGACACTACCCCTGCACAACAAAGCCCTGGTATTGGCTGCTGTCTCCTTGAGAAGGATTAACCAGGCCTGTCTTCTGAGAAAAATCAGACATTTCATCTTATGGAACCTCCACAGTGCAGAAGGAGGCCATTCAGCCCATTGAGTCTGTGCTGATACTGCCACCTGTTGCTGTACTTACCTTGGTTAATCCACCTGGTCTACACATCTCTGGACAATCCACTTTCTTTGGACTGTGGGAGGGCACCAGAGCACCTGGAGGAAATCCCCCTGCCCATGCACACAGTTAGCCAAGGCTGGGATTGAACCTGAGACCCTGGTGCTGTGTGGTAGCAGGGCTAACCACTGAACTACTGTGCCCAACACCACCTCCCCCACACCCCCAAAGCTGCCTTGTGCTGGTGCCACTTCATTCCAGTTGTTTAGCCTGCTGTGTTGTGATTTTTACTGAGCGCTGATCTCATTAAGAAAACTGCATTGCTTCCAGAGAGACAAAAACCGGGCGGTAAACCCAGTTAACTCACAATGCAAGTTAATATAAAAAAGAGAAAACATAAAATGTCTTGCTTTTCAATATGAAATAAATGGCAACAATATGACGAGTCAGTAACAAGGGGGCACAATTTTAAAGTGGAAGGCAGGAGGTTTAGAGAGGATTTGAGGAAAAAGATCCCACCCCCAACTCCTCCTTCACCAGGGAGGAGAAACCTCACAATGAGCATTTGAAATGCTCTAGCATTCACGGCTAGGAACCTAGTGCGGGGGAGGGGGGGGAACTAGTGAAGGTATTGTTGGCAGACGCCGATGGGCCGATGGTCCTCTTTTATTGCTGTGTGTCTGAATTTCTGCTCACAGTCCCGTTTAAATTAAAAAAAAAAGCAGAACACCACTGCTGGAAAGTCTGATGTGGGTGATCCCCGAGGTGTAGAATGGGGCTAAAGGGAGAGGTTTGATTGTGGGGTAGGGAGAGCACTTGTTAGCTCAGTGTGTGAGTGTAGCATCGAGTGAGGAGGGAGGGGGAGAGAGAGAGCTGGGTTTTGCTGCAGTGCGATTTAGCGTCAGTCAGTCACTGTCTCTCTCTATCCGTCTGTGTGTCTCCCTCAGTCACAGTGTGGGCCGCCAGCCAGGACCATTGCCCTGTCCCCAAGCCCCAGCGTTAGTCCCTCCCCGCCGTCTTTTCCAGCACCCCCTCCCCTCCCCTCTTCCCCCTCCCCTTCCCCTCCCTCTGCAGTTCGAGACTCCGAGCAGGCAGATCTTGCAGCTCTGCTCCAATTGAAGAAAAGGCAGAGCAAGAGCCCACTACAGAAAGGGATAGAAGACAGCGCTCTCATCCCACAAGTCACATCCTTTCCCCATCAGGAAGTGTGACTGCAAGCAACACACACACAAAAAAAAGGGGGAGGCGAATTAAAACAAAAGCCCAAGACTTCCTCTTTCTGAGTTTCTGAGCTATATATTGAGGAGTGGGTGAGAGAAGGAGCTAGGGCCGGGGGTGGGCTGCAATGGCTCGGGAATATGAAAAGAGCAGCCTTTCCTGGAAAAAGCAAGCGGACGACATTAAGAACATTTTCGAATTTAAAGAAGTCCTGGGGACGTAAGTATAGCTCGCTGCAGAGCAAGGAGTTAGCATCAGCGGAGGGTTCAATAGCTCAGGCGTTTTGAATACATCAGGCATTTGAAATGCAGCTTTTGGAGAGAGAATGTGTGACATTTCATTTTTGTTATTTATAGGCAGTGAATGAAAACGTGCTTAATATCAGCTCTAGACTCTAGCGAGTTATATGCCTTCGCTTTTTGTCCTTGAGAAATGATTGTGTTTTATATATGTGTATATTTATAAAGTTTGTCTTAATTTCGCTTATTGTGGTTCCTGTGATTTAAAATGACCTTAGGATTGTACCAGTTAAATAGTGGATTGTATTCTGGAGCACTGTGCACTGGGACAGTTGCTGGACTGAATGTGTATAAATCTCGCTTTTGGACGTGTTTGTAGGTTTGGTTGCAAAAGAAGCGGTTCATGTCGTTGCTGATGTATTGCTGCTTGTTTGAGAAATTTTTATCCTGCATGTGTGCGTTTGAAGCTGTAAACGAGAGCCATGATCTTAATCTTACAGCCCACATGAAAAACACAGACACAACCGCCAGAGCTGCTAGGCGCTTAATAAGCTAGTCATGTTAGTGGGGAAGTGTTGGCAACAAAGAGTGTAACAATTTTTAAAGGTTATGACAATGAGCTTGTTATATTTGTATTGGTTAGCCCATACTGCCTATCGTGAATGCAGTAAACAGATACAGGAAAAGTGACTTAAGATCTATATCAGTTGATTTGAATTGCAAGTTTTGTGTCAGCTGATAGCACTTCCCCACGAAACAAAGTAACTTTCCAGGTGCTTTTGAAGTTGTTTGAACTGTTAAATGACTTGATTTGTTTTCTAAAATGGGACAGTGGAAGTTGAAGGTATAACGGACGAAATGAACAGCTTGAGTATTTTGTAGGATCCTGCCGCAGAGTTGAAATTGGTAGGTCCTGAAAGGACTGCTGTTTTGAACCTGAAATTCTAAAGTGATCATCAGGTTAGATTTAGTCAAAGGCGAACTCAGACGGATACTGCTGTTCCTCTCCAAGTGTCAAAACTCTGCTGTTTTTTTATTTTAGTCCTCTGCACTTTACCTCAACGTACTCTCATGGGCTTTGAGTTGAAAATGTCAGCTTGTGTTTCTAACTCCCCAGACACTTGTATATGAGAGAGGCTGCCTTTAGGCAAGGAGCCTGCTTACTATGTACAGTGGTCAGGTTCATAATCACACAGAGAGATGGATAAAGAGTACAACATCTTGGAACACTGAAGGTCACACTCCTCCTGCTGAGAGACTCCTGAAACGTTAGTGTATAAAACAGATTTTCCTGTCGTTTGGAAGTTTTCATTTCTGAGAAATTCTAAGTTTTTCACTGAGTTTTAAAAATGGAATCTAATGTTTTTAAGAAAACAAATACTTCTCTCGTTTAACTTGCAAGCTTCATTGCCCAACAGTTCCTGGCAAAACCCATAATTATGTTTTTAGAATGAATCCATACAAACACACTGATTTGATAATTAGGACAATGGTTTAGGCTTGATTGCTCATTGGAATGTCTCTTGAGATTATATTTGCATAAAATAAATATGATCTTCTGTCTTTTTTTCCTTGCAATTTTGACTCTGAGTAAAGGCAGCACTCCCCATTAGGGTACAGCACCCCTAGGATGCTGGCTGCTTTCTTGTTCATTGTCCAAGTGATCATTTTTGCCTCTGTGTGGACAGAGTGGGTGACAGGCTCTTATAGATGGATCATAGGTCAACATCTGTCTTCTCCTCACCAGAATTCATAAACAAGCCCTTTCCAGATGGAAGATTGGGTTACTGGCTCCCTGCAAGAATATTGACAGGAGCTGCCACCCCCTCCCTGTGCTGCTCTGGAAGGCTGCTCAATAGACTGACTTAACATGTTTAGCAGTGTTCATAAGATGCTGGGTATGCAGCAGATTGCATTTGTTAGGGGTAAATTACATTTGTTAGGGATGGAGCAGCTTCATACATTGCACTTCTGTCAATGCCTGTGGGTCAGGTTTTGCCACAACCTCGGCCTGTCAGGTTGTTCATGGGAGTTGTTATGGATTGTTGTTTGTTGGCATTGGCACCTGATACCATGCTATCATAACCACTGACCATCACAATGGTACACACCAGCCCACAGGTGGTCATGCCCTTTTCCTCTGTCATTGACTGGTGCCTCCCTGTGCATACCTTGTTCTGTGGCTGTGATTTACAGATATCAGGAGCATAAACTCAACAACTTCCACCTCCCCTCAAACCCTCTTAAATAATCATTGAATCCCTACCGTGTGGAAGCAGGCCATTCGGCCCATTGAGTCCACACCGACCCTCTGAAGACCATCAGCCCCAGACCCATCCCCTTACCCTATCCCTGTAACCCTGCATTTCCCATGGCTAACCCACCTAGCCTGCACATCCCTGGATGCTATGAGCAATTTATTGACTTAAAGAAAGAGTGAAGGACTGGAAGGGCACCAAAGGTGGTGTTGTTAGGACAAAGTATTCATTTGTTTGCAAGATCAAGCTCCAAAGAGCTGAATTCTTTATTGTTTTGAAAAACTTTCACATCAATGAGAAATATTCTTTTTATCTCAAAAATATACTTTATTCATAAAAATGATCTTTTTATAAATACATAGTCACAAACACAGTTTGGTTGTGTGCAGTAGCGTATCAAAGAAACAAACAAACATTGGGATGGATTCTTTTAAAACAGAAATAAATTCAGAGACATGACATGGAAAAAATATAAACCGCATTTGTAATCAATCATATTTATGTGTTAGTTATTGTAATTTGTTTGCCGTCATGGGAATGTGTAATAATTATATTCTACAGCATTGTGACTGGAAACAGGAGTTTCAATTAAAAATTCTTCTTGAAAATTGTTCTCTCGAAGTCAGTACACCCAGTGATACTATGAATATTCTGCATCAGTGCCAAAGGACACTGTTCTGCCACTTCCTACATATATCTGAATTTTGCATGCTCTCTGTTGATGATGAAACAAAAATCATGCTGTAAATTAAATTGTTCATTAAACTTGTTGTAGAGGAGTCAGAGGCTAAGAGTTAATTTTCCAATTACTTGACCAAAGGCTGCAGCCTTTAAATGTTTTGCAATTCCATGTCATGAGTCTCTGCTGTTTTGAGTGGGGACATAACTTATTAATTAAAATGCTGTCAACTGTTGACCTTGCAACACATATTGGGAACTAACAGAGATTGTCATTTATTTGGATCATCATCCAAGAAAGTACCACCATGTTATTACAAGACATAGTGATTATTTAATTACCAAGCTTTAATCATATTTCATTGCATTTTTGAACAAAATGTCTTATACTTTACAATTTGATTAGGCACCATTACTAACAGCCAGGGTCAAGATCATCTACACTGACACTTTAGCACCTTATTAAATAAGTTTGTTAATATTGGAGATCTTTTGGATGAGATGTTCATTAGGGCCCTGTCTCCTTTTTCAGGTTAATGATAGCATTTCCATCATACAGTGTTAATTTCGAGTTGTAGACTCATACAGCACAGAAGAGGCCCTTTGGCCCATTATTTTGTTCAGTGCCATGTTCTGTTTGTACCCCTAGGCTGTGGTACCATCAGTGGCCCTCTTGCCATGGATCGTCAAAAAGGCAGGCATTTGTTATCCATCGCTAACTGCCCTTGGACTCAGTGGCTTGATTTTTCATTTCAGAGGGCACTGAAGAGTCAGCCATGTTGCCAGTCTCACTCTCAGTGAGGGAGTGTAAAATATTTGCCAGTCTGACCTCACTGGCCTCCAGGTTAGGTGAGAACATCCCATCTCATTGGGTTGTGAGCGTATGTGTACGTCAACAAGTACTAGAATGTGCCAAAAGCTGACACCCTCCTTCAGAGACCTTTCCAAGTTTCTCATAAACTTTCCCCATCATTCTGTTTCTGCTCATTTCCTAAAAGACTCACTTCACTACTTCATTGTGCTCTGCATCATGGTGAATGTCTGACGTTTGTGTACTTTTCCTTTTCAAAATTTCAACCCTATTTCCATGGTCTGCGGCAACTGTAACCACTATTAAATTGATGTATTCTCTAGGCATTTTGATATTTTAACGCTTGAACGTTATCTTCCTGAGTTTTCTACACAATAAACATTGACCAATTCTTAATCATTCTTCTCCATTGAAATGCCATCAACTAGTTGTTTTCTCTTGACTACATTGCCTTCTGTGTTTTATTGTGAAGTCTTGTGTGTAGCCTGTGCTCTGTGTATACTGATAATCATTTTAAAATCTGACCAGCGAATTACTGTCTATTATTACATGGTGCACAGTTGTTTTTAATGAGCTATTCAACAGCAAATTGATAATCATCTCCTGTCTTATGAGCTATACTTTAAAACGTTCTCATTCTTCATTCTGTTTCACTCCTCACATTGCCTTCCATTTGCTCACTTCATATCTCGTCTGGTGCCCTCTCAACCCATTCAGATCTTCCTCTTTGCTTTGCCACTTGTGCGTTCCTTTGAAATCACCCTGAATTTGTTATTGTCTGAAAACTTGATTCTGTCCCCAGCTAATGGAACTACTGAACATTGTGGATCCTGGTGATTCCTGTTTTGTTGACAAAACTGCATTGTCAACCACCTTTTGCCTTTGTTCGGTTTTGTCGATCTTCAATTTAGATTTCCTTCTAAATATCACCTTCCACTCCTTGTCAGCTCAGTGCCCTGTTACTAATAGCCTTGCTAAAATCCAAGTGCAGTATACCACATCTACAAATTTCCACTTTCTGAAAGACCTGTTTCCTTGAAAGCTCCAGAGATTTATTTGTGCAAGATTTTGATTAATACCATTTCTATATTTCATCATCCTTACTGCTTGGCTATTTTCTGTTGCTTATGGGACAGCTTTTAACATTGATGCTGTTTGCATTGATGCTGTTTGAGGTTTTATTTTAGTATTCAGGCATCATTGCAATTATCCACAAGACTACATGTTCGCAAG